ATATTTCTACTCGCTAATAACCGATGGACAGTCCCCACCGATCGTAATATGATACTTATGATTATTGTTAGTATAAACAGTATAGGTGTAATATCATATAATATAAATGYTGAATATGCAACAGGGAGGGGGTCTATCCCCCCTCTCGTTTGACCGCCACTGGTGRATAGGTACMTTATTAAATTAATAAACCTTACAGTTATGAAATCAAATAAACTAAATTTGACGGCGACAAAGACGGATTAATTGTATTTATAATTTTATAATGAAATAAAATTGGYAAATCACATTATTCAACACAGGGTAAAARTGAGTCATAATAATACAAAATTATAATGTGTAATATTAAACAGYTTTATTTTGGCGACACTGACGTTTTGAAATTTGACTGTATTGATTATTTGAATGGTGGTGAATTTTGTTGTGATAAGCACGGACTAAACTAAGTTTATCGTAGTCCGTGGTGATAAGTAATTAATCAATACACTAACATATTGTACATTGAACCCTGGAATCCCAGCAACTAGTGACCTGGGCATCAACTCACTTAAAATTTAATAATTTAATAATCATCGGTTACTTATCTTATCTGACATTTAACAATAACCCAATAAGATGGCTAAACATCATCCAGACTTGGTATTTTGTCGTAAGCAGCCCGGCGTTGGTAAGTGTAAAACTGTAGACAATGTATAATATTTATATCTGTAGACTATACTACTCAATTATGTTACGATTGTCTATAATGGTGTTTTTATGGGGTGAGTTGATTTGATAAGATATCATGAATTACGACCATACAAATGAACAAAATACAATAAAACTTACCTACAAATATTAATATTTCATATTTTCATCTTTTAGTTGTCTCTTAAATCTCTAAGAAACTCAATATTAGCCACTTAATATTAAATTAAAACAATTTAAGTTTTCATAAAAAAAATAGAAAACAAAAACATAAAGATTTCTTTATAAGTGTTTAATGTTTTTTTCTTATCATAATGACTTTTTATTTTAGTTACATATTTTATTAAAAGATTCCAATAGTTACGGTTACATGGCATTTAATGTTGTAAATAAATAATTTTTAATATAAACTAAAAAAAAAATATATTAACAATAACTATTAATTTTTTTTTTGATCTTAATTGTATTAACAATAATAGRTAATCTAGAAAAATTTATAAATTTATAAATTTATAACTTTTTCCTACATTGGAGGGTTGAAAATAAAATGAAGATTTTACTCAAAGTCTGATTTACCTAAGTACTAGTTATTTCTGATTAAGTTGTCTATAATGCCCACTCAGAACACTTAGCATATAGTTGACCTCAAMTATTTTTTGTGAATAAAATGATGAATACAATATACGATTTTGAACTGTGATAATTTATTTTATCAGAAGGTTAAAATAATAATTGAAATATTTTATAATTTTTTTTATGCAATTATTTATACACAATAACAATATATCAATATAAATTTACTACCCCCTAAACATTTTGCTACCTCTGGAACCTAACTATAGTAATACAATATTTAATTATTATAATATTCTTTTTAGTTAATTTAAGTATTTAACACACATTACCTTCATTACAGCTATAGGACGATTATGTGATAAATGCGACGGTAAATGTGTTATTTGTGATTCCTACGTTAGACCATGTACACTGGTACGCATTTGTGAAGACTGCAATTATGGCTCATATCAGGGTCGATGTATTACATGCGGTGGACTTGGAATTTCAGATGCATATTATTGTAAGGAATGTACAATTCAAGAAAAAGATGTTAGTTATATTTTAAAATGTGTTAAAATTGTCATGACTAATTCAAGTTTGTAATATTTATTTTATTTCAGAGAGATGGATGTCCAAAAATTGTAAATTTGGGAATTGCAAAAACAGATCTATACTATCAACGGAAAAAATATGGGTTCAAAGTACGTTAACATCTACATATTTGCATTTTTATTTTTATAATTTTAAGTTTCTATTTTTAGTTAACTCAAAGAATAAGTATGAAATGTATGTTTTTTTTTTTTTTTGATTACCATTAAATGATTAAAAATTGAGGTTTTATGTAAAATTACTCAAAATATTATAATTTCATAAATATAACTAGTGTTTTTATATATATATTTATATAATTTATAAATTTTAATAATTTAATAAAAATAATTATAGCTATAAATATTAATATAATTGTTTAATATACTGTTATTTACTATAACAACTTAATAGGCAAATAGGAATGGTAATTAATTAATTTTTTTTCTTCATTAAATAAAATMCGTGGTAACTTACCCATTGGAATTCAAAGTTTGTAATATTATTATTTGCATTTAACTATTCATATTTTATAGTTTTATAACTATACAAAAGTTGACAAAAAAAAAAGTTGTAATCGAGTTATTTTGAGAGGTTCTTTGAAAAATGTGACTCTTAGACTCTTTCGATCTCAGACCAACACTGATAATGTAACATTCAATCTATAAATTTACAATTTATTTCATATTACATAATATGAAATTATTTATAATCTTGTAATATTGTTAATTTTAAGTTAAATGTAGGCTAACCTATAGTTTTTCTATAATTCTATATTATAATTGTCTGCACTGTGTTGATCTTAAAATGTATTATCTCATAACAATAGAAATAAATAAATAAAATAAACTGGTAAAATTATATATATGTATATATATTTTTTTTTTCTGTGCATTATTAATATGAAACTCCATAGTTAATAAATATTTATTAAATAGTGGTTATTTTTTACCATACTACACAAATAACTAGTAACAATTAACGAAATCGATATATTTAAAATATAGCCAGCATCAAAATAATAAATTCAACTTAAAGTTATTAGGTATAAGAACTGGGATCAGTTCACCAGGAATTTGGGAGTTTTCATTATGAACTGTCTCATTTGCTATAAGCTGTTTTTAATTTTCTAGTTAGTTATTGCTAAATGTCTTTAATCAGTCATAAATTAGCCTTTTGTTAAATAGAAAAAWAATAACGATATCTTGCACATTTAGGTGTTTGAACGCAACTTTACTACTACCTAATCATAATATCGGATGCAGGTGCATTTACTGTATTTCTACTACTATACCTACAAGGCTACAAATATCATATAATTGATTAATAAATTATAATGTTTTTAATTACTTGTAAATAATACTATTAAATATTTTTTTTATGTGTTACTATATGATTATCATGCCTATTGCCTAGTAATTAAACAAAAAAATGTATATAAAAATTGAGTTAAATAATACTATAATATATATTATACATGACAAAATAAAATATACTTATCATCGGCATAGATCACAAAAAACCTAATAGATGTATTAGCCCCATCTCCACCCAAAGAATAAAATAAAAATACACAGTTTTTTAGTTGTGTGAGATCAAATCCGGCTCTCATTATTTTAAAAAAGTTAGACCTCCTGAAATTTTAAAGAGTTACTGCCAATAATTCAAATATATATACTTCAAAAATATAATATATTTTCTCATTATTATATATAAATATAAGCACACTTAAGAACAAATTATTTGTGAAGTATAAATCAAAATAAATAAATATCAAACTTGTCCTTGTTTTAATATCAGTAAAAAATGTTTGCAGGTTTTGACAGATAAATTTATATTATATACAAAATATTAGTTGAAAAGAATTAATTATTGTAGTACTGTATAGAAACTTATTTTTTTAGTGTCTTTATTTTTTAATTAACAATATATTATATAATATTTATAAATCAATAATTAGTATGTAGCAATAGTATTGGCATAACGCGTATGAGTTACTAATCTGGTTATTAATGTATATATTATATTATATCAGTTTGCTAGCTGGCTAGGTATTAACAATTTAAATAATCTTAAGAAAATAATTTGAATCAAAGATAAATCAGTCAATAATAAAAATTTGTCTATCAAGAGATTAACAATGATTGTGCGCTGATCTATTTACTATAATATCTTCCCAAACCACTCCTGTTAGGTCCATAAGTTAAAATTGTCTTCAAATTATTTCGGTTATATGAATGTTTTTCTGTGTGACTAATATAACATAATTTCACCATTTCTTCATTAACCWAGCTTCACAATGCCATAAGATCAATCTTGAATGTGGATAATATATTTGTATCAGTGCACCATCAAATTCCATTTAATGTGTTATAGATATTAGAAATTATTTACAAATTCACGATGCATACCTTGATATTATATAATATTATACAATACATACTATTATATAATTGTATCTACTTTACCTTCCTCTAAAATATGTTTCAAATTTTATGTAGTAGAGGAAAGTATGACATATTTAAACTAAGAACAATAATATCATATAATGTAGACAAATTCATTTATTTATTATAAATGTACAAAAATAGGATATTTATACTCTTTTTCCGACCGAAACTGGTCGCAGCCACGCATCCTCCACCCAAAAACACAACACTTTCGGACTGCGTGGAKGGGGATTTCACAGGCGAACAAGCCGACTGGAGCTCATTCTACATGCGCAAAACGGTCCTGTTCTCTCGTGAAAAAGAGTATAGGGTGATTTTTGTAATATGATTTATGTACAGTTTCATCATTTAAGACATTTAAGTAACAATAATTTTAGGATCTATTGATATTTGAATTTTGTTTTCAACTAATAAATTATCAACAATATATATTTTGTAGTACATATAACAATACATTTAATCGCCAGAAAAAAAAAATATACTTGCTACTGTTTTACATATTTAACAATTTTAATAGTCTGTGTGTCACTATAAATCATAAAACATGTATAATTTATGGCAGAGTGTATTAGAACTGTGTTCTATGACAGTATAAATACCCCTAGGTACTTAAAAAGCTCATTAATATTTTTATTATCAATAGTTACTTAGAAAATAAAAAAGATTTCAGCATATTATTTTTATTTTGGAAAAGTCACTCAAAGTCAACATTATGACTTTTAACCGAAGGAAATATTTATATTCTGCCGTGTGGTTTTAAAATTATATCTCAACTACACAGGCTATAATAAATTTATTAAAATCAGCACTGTTCGTACTTATAAAAATAAAATAAAAATGTTATTTTATTTTAAAATAGATTTATATGCTTATTATTTTTATTATCTATATATATAAAAATGGAGACGAAAATGTATAACAATTCATCAGTTGAGAACGGCTGAACCGATTTCGCTCACTCTTTTTTTGTTTGGGTCGTAATTGYYAGGAGAAGGTTCTTACRGATGAAAAATTTGAGAAAGTTATCGGGTTAGAGAAATATGATGAGGGTGTGATGAAATTAAAGTGGCGCCATCTGCCCAGTAAAAAATAAAATAAATAATATTAATAT